ATGCTATACATACTATATTTAGGGTTTGTTTAGTTTCTAGGAATAGGTGTCTGGAATCGGCCTACTGTTTGCTTGGCAGGAATAGGGTTCCGATTCCCATTCTTGGGAGAATGGAATTCCCCCATATGGGAGAGTGGAAATTCCAGCCCCCCCATGGGATTCCCATCCCAGAGTATGTCAAGAAGTAAAGAACTCATGACAACAAGCCATTGAAATCTTAGCATTAATAAAATAATATATTATTATTAAATTATTAATAATAATATAATAATAAATAATTATGCATTAATAATAAAATAATAAAATACTAATAAATCAATAATAACAAACAAAGATATTGATTATTAAATACAATAATAGTAAAGTACAAATAAAACTTTAATACAATATAATTAAAGCAATGCCAAAACAGCAATAATAAAACATTGATGATTAAATAATAAAATATTATGGAGTAATAAAAAGATAATGATAATAATAAAATACAAGTATATTAATCATTAAAATAATAATAAAATCCTCATCAAATAACAGTACTATAATAAAATATTAATAAATTAATAAAAAGCAAAGATATTATTTATTTAATAATAATCATAATAATAATTAATTACAAATAAAATATTAATATTTTATCATTGAAGTTATAATAGAATACCAAAATATCATTTATTAAATAATAATAAAATAATTTTAAAATAATAAACAAAATACTAGAATAGTAGTAGTCTAATAAGAAAATGATAATAAAGTAATAAATTATTAATACCATATAATAATAGAAATATTATTAATGTAATAATAATATAATAATATATTAATGAAATATTTATAAATTAATGATAAATACTAAGGTATTAATTATTAAATGATAATAAAATAATAATAAGAAACTAATAAAAAGCAAAACTATTAGTTATTAAATAATAATAATAATTAAGTAGAAAAATGTTAATATAATAGAATTTAAGTAACAATAAAATACTAACATATTAACTATTCAATAATAACCAATGAATTTTAAAATAATAAATACAATTAATAGAAATTAATAAACTAATTAAGAAAATGATAATAAAATATATTAAATAATAAATTATTAATAAATAATGTATTAATAAAATATTCATAAGTTAATGATAAATACTAAGATATTAATTATTAAATAATAATAACAAAGTGCTAATAAAATAATAAATATATATTCATAAAATATTGATAAAGTAATAATAAAATAATAAATAGACTAATACAAAATTGAAAATTTTCAATTGATTCTGACTTCAACTTTCAACGAACCAAACAACAACAATCGAAATATATATATATATATATATACATATACTATAATTTCTAGGCCTGGTTGGACCAATTGGGCCTAAGGCTTACTTGGCCTAGGCCTGGTCTAGAAATTTGTGGGCATGGCAAGGCGGACTGAGCCAAGCAGCCAGATCATAAATGGTCATCCCTAGTTACTTCTCTAAGAGTTTTGCCTTCCCTGATCTCCCCCATGTTCTCGTTGTATAGTACTAGTTAAGTTGTGCAAGCACATAAAGATGAACATAGTGGGGAAAATAGATGGTAGGCAAAACATATGGTTCATTGACTAGCAATAAAGAATATGAGCCAGTGATAAAATGACATGATGCAATTGACATCTTTAACATTGTTAAAATTTGGTGGGTAATTAAATACATCTTACAAAATGTAAATCAATGAAAAGTAAGTATATTTTATGACATCTTTAACGTGATTGATTAAAATCTTTATTTAATATGCATCAAGTATTAGTGATTGCACCATAATTGAGCAAATAAATGTATTTAAGGTTTTTTATTTTTTATTTTTTGCATGGTAGTCTAGATGTTAGGCAAAGGCAAGTATTTGCACTTTTGTCAATGCAAAATTCCCACCACCTGATAGTCATATTCTTTATCGTAAAAAGAGGGGACCACATTAGTTTGCTTCCTATCACTACTCCTCCCAAACAATTAACCTTCTTCCTTGGCTCCTCGTACTTGCATATAAAGTGGGGACTACATTATTTAATCGACTATTTTATTTCTCACAAACAAACAAAATAGCCAAATAAAGATGGAAAAGTAACCTAAAATTTACACCCCCTAGGGTCAAAAGAAATGTTAGTTAATGATAATCCCATGAAGGAATTCCATCACCTCTTTTTTTGGCAATCACAAAATTTATGATAGTTTTAGGCTCCTTATAAAAATGTAGTGTCCACAATGAGCAAAATGAGGTACAAGGTGTATTTGTAATGGATGATGAACCTTGTGTAGCTCAATGATGCCCAATAAGAAAAAAAATAGAAGCATTTACGCTACATGTATAGCACATAGTACTAGAGAGGAATATCATTGAAATTGGAAGGAGTACAAATGCAAATATGTAGGGTTTTGCAACCTTATATTTCGTATTATTTTATATGTATTTGCACTGTACATATTTGCATTTATACTCTTTCCAAACTGAGCCCTTACAACACATTAAGCATCATCGCAAAATTTGAAAATATGCATAATGAGAATATGTGTGTGGGAAATACACGAGGCCAACAAAATCCTTTGGGTACATTACGGGTGTAAAGCTTTGATTGAATAGCTCAGACTCAAATTCAATTAGGCTCGATTCGAGCTTGATGCTAATCAAGTTTGAATCTCAGGGTAAGTTTGATTAGTTTTTCGAATTTGAATTTAAACAATAAAATATCTGGCTTGACAGTTTGGGAGTTTGGCTATAAATATATTATGTACTATTTTTTATAAAATATAAAAATATATTTTATATTATAAATATTATATATTTTGAATTAAAAGTATATTAATTTTCGAACTTTTGAGCCAAACTCAGGCTTATCAAATATTTAGTCAAAACCAAACTTGAATAAGAAAACAGAGTTCGAATCAAACTCAAACTTGAATTCAAATATAAGTGTATTTTAGTCAAATCGAACTACGACATGTTGAATTCGGCTCGACCCATTGCGGTTGCACCCCTAGTATATATAATGTAGGCTTATTATTGATGGCCTATTCTATATATTCAAAATACAATTGTCCTTATTCCCTCTACACTTCATATTGCTTCTCAACCTCCTTAGAATTTTATGTTTATTTTGAATATTGTTAACAATTAAGAAAAAATCAAACATGAGAGTATTTAAACCCACCCACAGATAATTTAATCTCCTTATTATAGGAAATTGAAAGTAATCACCCCATAAAGAGCAATGACATCTTTTAACACCAGTCTCTGCACCCTATGGGCTCATGGGCTGGTCTCTTCTAATGGAGTGAAGGTGATCTCAGGTCCATCTCATAGGTACTAATTTCAGTGAGATCTCTTTAAAATATACCTGGATGACAGTATCAATATAGTGTAGGATAATTATTTTTCTATGAAAATAGAAAAACAGGTACACCATCCTTATTGGGAAATTGAACAACTTTTGGGGATTGATATTGCTTTAAGTGCATGCAACTACCTACTTATGACTCTAAGTGTCTGTCTTTCTCTTCTGTATTTTCTTTTAGACTTCAAGGGTTGATAGAGAACTTTGGTTATTAGGTTAGTTGTTGATAGTTTGATACTGTTTTTCAACAAACACCCTTTTGATAGTTATTGCTCCATCTATCCAGGGAGAGCTTGATTCACATTACCATGTTTTACCTATCAAAAAACGTTTATATATAATGTCGGATCAGATTACCACTCAAAAGAAGCTATTACATCATCTTCGAAATCACCATCTGCATTCAATGGTTAGAGTATCTTTGATGCATGTAATGCATAATGAACCATCTTTATTAACCATTTTCATAAGGAAAAAAAAAAACATAATTATGGGGGAGGAGTGGAGGACATAGCCCGTTTTGCCTAGACCCAAATGATATAATATTCTCTTAAGGTGACAATGGATCAGTTTTAGGTTGGACCCGTCCAAATCAAAATCAATTTGGATGGAATAATATGACATATTAAATTGGACCAGTCCAGACTTTATGATCCAAAATATTTATTGAATTGGATTGGACCTGATCCATCTATAATGGATTTATGAGTCCAACTACATTGTTCCAGATGTGCGGTGTATGGTGCTTTTGTAAACAGTACACCGTGCATCGCCATGAATAGGGAGCAATGCTATACTTTCTCAATCTAGGACATGTGGGCCTTATGGGGGCCCATGTTGTATCTCATCTGGTAGGCCCAAAACAAGGCGCTCCCTAGTAATGCTGAGTAATAAAAAACAAAGGGAAAACTTGGAACAACTACCACCCTCACCAGTCCTTCACAAACTAAGGGCAAAAAAAAGAAAGAAAGACTCCCTTGATTAATTCATTTTAAATGCAAGAGCATAAAATATTAACAGATACCAAATTAAGGAAGATTTATCGTAATATACCCTTGGCAGCCTGCGCTGTCCAGAGGGCTTCCTGCGTGACACGTCAGTTCACAGAATTCCGTGTAACAGTAGCAGTGCTTCAGGCATGGTTCATTGACTGACGTGTCGTGACGAGAGAGCCTGTGGAAAGCAGAGGCTCCCGCCGGAATTAGGTCCCGTGACAATTACCGGAAAATCACGTGCTTATTCCACGGACTCCACGTATCCACCTAATCTTTGCTTTATTATTGAAAGGGGCCTGTAATTTTAATATTTATTATAAAGAGGCAAGCTCTCAGTGAACATCCCACATCACTACTCGCAGCCTCCCCCTCAGGTCCCCACAAACCAAAAGTTTTAGAGAGAAAAAGAGGAGATAGAGAGTCACCAAACTCAGCATCCACCGAGTCACCCACACAGAACCTCCCCCTCCGGTCCCCACAGAAACCAAAAGTTTTAGAGAGAGAAAGAGGAGATAGAGAGTCACCAAACTCATCATCCACCCAGGCACCCACACAGAGCGCCAAGAGCGACGAGCGCGACCCTTTGATCTCTCTCCCTTAAAAACCTACTTTTGACCGTCTTGCAGGTTGGTTTGTTAAATCTCTCTCTCTCTCTCTCCTGTTTTTTATCGTTCTTTTTTCACTCTCTTTCACTGTCTCTCTCTCTCTAATACACATTTGATACAAACACTGGATTTGAGTCTCGTTCATTCACTGTCTCCCCATTCCTCTCTCACTCTCCTCTGTTGTGATGACTCCCGCCAACCTATTTCATCCATTATGCACCTTTTAAAACCCTAAATTCCTTCGTCTCCCTCTCTGACCACTTTAGGTAAGTCGTTGAAACCCTCCAAGATTAAATCGAATCAACATTTGCGTGTTTTTTCCCCTGGTTTTCAATTCTACACCTATCCTGGTAGTTCGAGTGCAATTCTGGTTTTTAGGGTTTGCGTGTTGATTTGGTTGTGTTCTGATTGTTTTTAAGGCCTGATCGGTGGATCTGTTTCTCTTTTTTCTCTTTCTTGTTGGTTGGTTTTTGTTTGTTGCAGGCAAGAAAGGAAAAGAGGCGGTACGTGTGTCTGGATTTATGTCCCTCAATCAATCAAGGTCTGACAAAAGCGAGGCCCAGTTAAGGAAACCTGGTCGATCTGGAAGCTCGGGTCAGCAGAGAAGCTTCTCAGGTGGTGGCGGGAAGGGCGGCGGTGGGACCGCCCATCCACCCTCTTCTTCGAGTAACTCGTCTTCGTCGTTGTCTTCGAATCGAAGGTACTTAACCTTCTATTACTTAGATATTTTCTAGTTATTCTTTGACACAACTGTTGTGAGTCTGGTGATTTGGAGAGAATTCTATATAAAAGTTAGGGCTTTTTTAATCTCTTTTAGACATTTGATACCATCAATTGTATGGTGTTGGCTCTGTCTATCAGCTTTAGGAGACCTGGTAATGGACAAGGAGGCCAATCTAGGGTGAACGCAGCGAGTACAAATTCAGAACCCAATATTTCTGTTAACCGTGCAGTGCAGAATGGTACCCACGTACAACCCCCATTACATGGTATATAGTTTTTTCTGCTGCCAGTACTTTACTCGTTTGACAACAGTGAGAACGTAGAGTGGTGATTGAATAGGATATATGGGTTTCATCTTTAGTTTGCTTATTTATTTATTGAGGAATACTACCATTTTTTCTTGGACTGGTTATAGTAGTGTCAAATGCGCCTGTCCCAAGTGTTCCCTCCAAGGCCACAGACTCGTCTAGTTCAAGAGGTACTGGAATTGCACCTGCGCCAAAATCTCCATCATCTCAAACAGCTCCCGGAGCTGTGGATTCAAATGTATCCACGACACCTGTCAAAGGTATGACTTAGTTGCACCTTTCTGTACCTTAGTATGTAAGAGTTCTCCAAGTGGGGCAAATCTATCTTTTGCTGGCCGGCTATGTTGCCGGTTAGACATAAGAGTTTCATCGGTCTGCTTATACCTTTTTGGTAGAAACTAGTCTTCTTAAGTGGGGATCTTGTTTGTGTTTATGCCAGTACAAATTTCTTTTTTGGTTTCTTATAGAAGGTCCACATTTGTAATTGCTTATCTTGTTTTGAATCTCATCTTGATTGTGTTGTCAATTGGCATTTCCCAGCAGATGTGCCTAGGGCATTTCCTCTTCAATTTGGGTCTATAAGTCCTGGTTTCATGAATGTGATGCAGGTAAATTTTTTCTTTGGCATTTTATGCAAGTTATTAGTTCCATTTCTCTCTCTCTCTCTCTCTCTCTCTCTCTCTCCTTATTCGCTATACAAATCTATGGTGTCCCTAATTTCTAATCTGTCTAAAGGAAAGAAGGATGACTTGCCTTTGTGTTTGTAGATACCTGCTCGAACTAGCTCAGCCCCCCCAAATTTGGATGAGCAGAAAAGAGATCAGGTCTGTGATTGCATGGTGATGTTGTGTGATTTTCTCCTTTTTACATGGATACACTTTCATGTTTTCATTTCTACCCAAACAGACCATCATTGTACTTCCATTGGTCTAATAATAAATGATATGGTTAGATTTTTCTGCATGATTATCTTCAAACTATGGCCAAGGGGCTGTGGGCTGATGGGTGGTACTTGTATGTGCTTGTGATTTGTGAATGGAAAAATGGGGAAGAGTGGGCTTAGTTTATTTAGATGGAAGCAACCAACAATTCATTGTTTCATATGCTGAGCCTGTAAGGGTCCTGAAAACCTAGTCATATTTTGGAAACTAAGTAATGTGTTCAGTCATTATAGTAGCTGTATTTGTTTGAGACTATGATTCTTTTATAATGCAGGCACGTCATGATTCTCTTAGAACCACATCCTCAGTTCCAATTCCTTCTGTTCCTAAGCAGCAACTAAGAAAGGATGTGGGTAGTGTTAACCCATCAAAATATGGGGAGTCCCATCCCCCTTCTCAAGTCAAAAGAGATGTGCATGCTCAGGTTCCTTCTGCACCTTCTTCTGCAACAACACAGAAGCCTTCTGTCCTTTCCATGACTGGAATGCCTATGGCAACACCATTTCAGCAGCAACAGGTTCCCGTACAATTTGGTGGGCCCAATCCACAGGTTCAGCCACAAGGTGTATCTTCAACTTCATTGCAAATGCAGGTACCCTTACCAGTTGGAAATACCAATCAAGTTCAACAACAGGTGTTTGTTCCAGGTCTTCAATCTCATCCATTGCAGCCTCAAGGAATGTTACATCAGGCCCAGGGTCTTACTTTCACTCAAATGGGTCATCAGCTAGCTCCTCCATTAAGCAGTATGGGAATTGGGATCACCCCTCCATTTGCACAACAGCAAGCTGGAAAATTTGGTGGTCCACGTAAAGCTGTTAAGATTACTCATCCTGAGACTCATGAGGAGTTGAGGCTTGACAAAAGGACAGATTCTTATTTGGATGGTGGGCCATCAGGCTCGAGGTCACATCCTAATGTCACCCCTCAATCCCAGCCCATTCCATCCTTTAACCCTGCTCACCCACTAAATTACTATCCCACAATGCCACCTAATTCTTACAATCCCATCTTCTTCCCTGCTCAAACATCTCTTCCTCTGACAAGTAGCCAGATGACTGCTGGTTCTCCAGCAACCAGATATAATTATTCAGTTGTCCAGGGTCCACAAACTGTGCCATTTATGAATGCTTCTTCTCTTAACCCCATGTCAACTAAGATTGGGCCCCCAGTGCAAAACACTGCTGAACCAACAAACTTGGAACATGCTGATACTTCTGCTCAACTGGCTCCAGTTCAGGTGATACTGAAGCCAGCTACTGGTTTGCCTGGAGAAAAGTTTGGATTATCTACAGCATCAGTTGTTTCACCTGTTGTTAGTATAGGTGAATCACCAAAATTCTCAGTTGCTTCACCTGTTGTTAGCAAGGGCGAATCACCAAAATTATTAAGACCAACAGGGGATACCACCTCATTTCGTCCACAAGGGGACTCAGATATTGGTTCAGAGAGTTCCACTCGGTATTCAAAATCCCTTCCCGAAGCAGCTAAACATCCTAGTAGTTCATCTGTTAATGTTTCAGTGCAGAGACCAGCTTCATCTGCTCCTGCTGCGGCTCCTGATGAGTCTGTGTCCATTATGACCAACATAGAAGGCAGAAGAAAAGAAGCTGTTAGAAGGTTAGATTCTCTTAAGGATCATCAAAAGAAACAGAGCAAGAAGGATGCACAACATTCTCAACCACATAATCAGGTGTCATAACCTTTTCTTTTCATAGATGTAATTATTCTGCCTTTCCATTTACAAGTTCTGCTTTCAGTAACTTCAGGATGGTGGTTTTCATGCAGGCAGATGCCTCTGATTTTGTAAGTAGTTCAATGTCCTTTTCGTCAAAGTTGTCTGAGGAAGTTGACCAACACACTGAAGATATGCAGTCTCCTCCTTCAGAAGTGGTTGGATCATCCATCTCTATCTTGAATTCAGCTTCTTTGGGTTTAGAAGACTGTACTCTTATCAGTGATGGGGTTTCTGATACTGCAGAAGGTAAAGAATTTTCAGCTCTATCAGAAACCTTTGGAGATCCATTACAAACAGTCCACGAACAAGTGCCTGGTAACCATGTGGCATGCAATGATGTTTCTGAAGCAATGACCAGCAGTGTTCGAACAGGTGAGGGATTGACCTGTAAACCATCAAACGCTTCTGGTGTTGGAACTATTTCTGATAATTTGGATACTGCTTGTCATGCAGAACAAGATGGCTCTGCCTTGCAGGAAATTGGGAAAACCGAAGTTCCTGTAAAGGCCAAGCAAGGTGGTTGTAATTTTGAACCCTCTGTACAGTCTACTTCGGAATCTGTGGAAGCAACTAAACATACTGAGCTTAAGGATTCTGGTTTGAAAGACACAAATGTTGGCAGTGAGCTTGGATCTAAAACTGAGCATGAGTTGAAGGAAGAAGCAGCGAGTCATGTCTCAGAAGTTGGAAGAACAACTGATGATTTATTACAGACTTCTGCAACATCTTCAGATTCTACTTATGATGAATCCACCACTTCTGTTGCTTCATCAACATTTTCTCATGAAAATACCAATTCAATTTTGAATGCCCCTTCAACTAGAGGTGAACGAATGGGTAGTCAAAATGATTCTGCAATGGAATCTGATATATCTCAGCAGGAGACAGCTCCTATTCCAACTCCAGTTTCCTCTGAAGTGGCTTCAAAACTTGAGAGGAAGGGTGTTGAGAATTCAAGTGGTGGTCCACTTTCTGCTGTAGTGTCAGGTTCCAAGGATAGGCTTGCTTTAGAATTGAATAGGGTCAAGAGTAATGCTAGGGGGAAGAAAAAGAGAAGAGAAATTCTAAAGATAGCAGATGCTGCTGGGACAACTTCTGATCTATATATGGCATATAAGGGTCCAGAAGAAAAGCAAGAACCAGTTATTTCTTCTGAGAGTATAGACAGTACTTCCAGTGTTGGTGAGAAGCAGGTGCTTGCATCAGATGATACTGGGAAGGATGTTATAGAAAATGAGGAAGATGGACAAAGTAAAACTGAACCAGACGACTGGGAAGATGCAGCAGACATCTCTACCCCAAAACTGAAAACATCGGATGATGGAAAGCATGTTCGTGGTGGCTTCATGCATCGTGATGAAGATGGAAGTGAGGTCATTGGCAAAAAAAAGTACTCTAGAGATTTCCTGCTGACATTTGTGGAACAATGTAAAGATCTTCCCATGGGTTTTGAAATTGGATCTGATATAGCTGATGCCGTAATGAGTGCTCCAGTTGGTATAGCTCATATTGTTGATCGTGAATCATATTCTGGTTCTGGAAGAATTATAGATAGGCCTGCTGGAGGTCCCCGGTCTGATCGTCGTGGAAGTGGTATGGTGGATGATGACAAATGGAACAAGTCACCGGGTCCTTTTACTGCAGGGAGAGATATGCGGTTGGATATTGGTCTTGGAGGTGTTGTTGGGAATTTTCGACCTGCTCAAGGAGGTATGCATGGTGTTTTAAGAAATCCACGTGGTCATCCTTCTGCTCAATATGTTGGTGGAATCCTCTCAGGGCCAATGCAATCTCTGACACCTCAAGGAGGGATGCAGAGGAACAGTCTTGATGCTGATAGATGGCAGCGTACTACAGGTATTCAGAAAGGTTTGATTCCTTCACCTCAGACTCCTTTACAGGTAATGCATAAAGCTCAGAAGAAGTATGAAGTGGGTAAAGTATCTGACGAAAAAGAGAACAAGCAAAGACAGTTAAAAGCTATACTCAACAAGCTAACTCCACAGAACTTTGAAAAACTTTTTAAGCAAGTCAAAGAAGTTAATATTGACAATGCAGTTACTCTTAGGGGTGTCATTTCCCAGATTTTTGATAAAGCTCTTATGGAACCAACTTTCTGTGAAATGTATGCAAACTTCTGTTTTCATCTAGCTGGTGAGTTGCCTGATTTCAGTGAGGATAATGAAAAGGTCACCTTTAAGAGGTCGCTTTTGAACAAGTGCCAGGAAGAATTTGAGAGAGGGGAAAGGGAGCAAGCAGAAGCTGATAGAGTTGAGGAGGAGGGCGAGATTAAACAGTCTGAGGAAGAAAGGGAGGAGAAACGGATTCGGGCACGAAGGCGGATGCTTGGTAATATAAGATTGATCGGAGAACTGTATAAGAAGAGGATGTTGACTGAGAGAATAATGCATGAATGCATCCAAAAGTTGCTTGGACAGCATCAGAATCCCGACGAGGAAGATGTTGAAGCTCTGTGCAAACTAATGAGCACTATAGGGGAGATGATAGACCATGCCAAAGCCAAGGAACACATGGATGCATATTTTGACATGATGACTCAGTTATCGACAAACATGAAACTATCTTCTAGGGTGAGGTTCATGTTGAAGGATGCGATTGACCTGAGGAAGAATAAGTGGCAGCAACGGCGAAAAGTTGAGGGGCCAAAAAAGATTGAGGAAGTGCATAGGGATGCCGCTCAGGAGCGGCAGGCACAAGGTAGGCTTGCCCGTGGTGGTTCAGGAATTAGCTCTTCAGCAAGAAGGGGGCAACCCATGGACTATGGTTCGCGAGGGTCACCCTTGTCTTCTCCAAACACCCAGATGGGTGGTTTCCGTGGGTTGCCACTTCAGAGTCGTGGATATGGTGCTCAAGACGTTAGGTTGGAGGATAAACATCCCTACGAAAGCAGGACATTGTCAGTTCCTTTGCCACAAAGGCAGATGGATGATGATTCTATTACTCTTGGTCCCCAAGGTGGTCTTGCTAGGGGCATGTCTATCAGAGGACAACCACTGATATCCAATGTTCCTGTTGCTGATATTCTTCCTAGCCCTGGAGACTCCAAGAGGTTGGGGCCTGGTCCAAATGGTTATGGTCCTGTTTCTGAGTGGACAAATTATAACTCAAGGGAGGAGCTCATACCAAGAAATATTCCGGACAGATTCATGGGACCACCTTCTTATGACCAATCAAGTTCACAAGAACGCAATTCATATTTTGGGAATCGGGACTTAAGACCCATAGATCGCTATCTTGATAGATCTACGACTTCTTCACCTGCCACACAGATGCAGGGGTCTTCTGCTGCTTCACAAAATATTACATCAGAAAAAGTATGGCCTGAAGAACGTCTTCGAGACATGTCAATAGCAGCAATCAGAGAATTCTACAGGTATCTTCTTCCCTTATGGATTTTTCTATGCCTTATCTGGTAGTTGTGTCCGAATTCCTTAGTGCATTAACAATGGGATGTGTTTCTACCACTGATGGTGAAAAGCCATTCATCATTTTGTTTATAGTGTTTCCCTTTTGTAAGTGCAATTATATTTTCTTTTACTTAAGTTTGTTCTGGTTGATGCTTTACAAAACTTTTTGGTCTAAAAAGTTATCCTCTTCTTCATATTCATTTTGCATGTTCTTCCTTGAACTTAGATTGTACTTTTGTTTTATATTGTGGATTCCATTGAAGTGTAGAGGTCTTTTATTTATTATTTGATATCATGTTGTGGTTCCTGGACTTTTATTTGGATAATTTTATAGCAATGTGGAAAACAGTGCAAATAAGTGGTTTACTTGTATGTTTGCATAATGTGCAAGAGTAGAGGGTAGAGCATCACTTTGAAGGAGGAATGGACAGAGATTCATCCTCTAATCCATTGTTCTATGGCTTGAGTTTAGTCATGTTGGATGGGTTCCTCCCAATTCCTAAAAAACCTACCTAGGAATTTATCTAATGATAGTCTTTTATGGATTGCATTAAGTCAAAATGGAAAATAGAGAGTACTATTGTTTCATTCACTGTGCTGTTTTCTAGAGTTTTGGATTTTCTTTTAGTGTTTTCTTAGGTTGGTATGGGTGATTTTTGGAGAAGGTGAAAACTGATGCAGAGATGTGTGTGGATGGGCCATTGAGAGGAATGATAGGTTCCTCCTCGAAACTTTTAATTTTTCTTTATTTATCATGGATGTGATATTCATTGGGTTGCTACAGTTTACTATCATCTCTGTAGCAAGGGATGGGTTCCTTATTGCTAGATTTGCAGTTGTAGGTTGTTTGATCTTGGTACTCTCTATTGGTGTAGGAACTTATGACGATTGCTCTTTTTGGAACCCTTGTTTTTTGGGCAGTAGAGTTTTTAGACCGGATGGTTAGGATCCTGTTCAATTTGTCAAGGTTGGTGGGCTTTGTTAACCCCATTAGCTAAGGCCCTATCTCTCTGTTTCGGGGCATAGGGTTTACATTTTATTGGGCTATAGGAGGGTGCTTGTTAAATTCAACTCTACTTTTGCGGTTGGGCAGTTAAAATAGTTCGCATGGCAGTGTCTGGGCTTCTCACTTCATCAGGGTAGTCTGAGATACTGCATCTAGTTTGACCACCTTGTTACAATATGTTCCTAGCTTGCACATGGTTATAAGTGCTTGATGATGCAAAGTATTTCTATTTTGCAGCTTTTCTCCTCTAGTTCCAACTTGAAAAAGGTATTTGAAAGTATTGTGGGTCTGATATGTGTTTGAAAAGATCGAGCAATGTGTTTACTTGTTAAAGCCCATTTACTGACAAGGCAGACAACTTAACATTAGTGTAATCAGCAGTTTCAGTGAGAAAACTGAATAAGAAAAGGGCACATCAGGTGGCCTTTGACTAAATGTTCCACTGAGCGGATGATTTACAGTCAGGGAATAAGTTATGGATAAATTGGAACCAAGTATTCAGTGGTTCACTACTCTATCATTGCATAAGATGTAACATAATGCAATAAGACCAAATCACCAAACAAATCAAGGAAATCAGAATACCATCTAGTGTTTCAATCTGATGAAATGGAACTCTAAATGGAGGATCATCATCATCATCATCATCATCATCATCATCATCATCATCCAAGCCTTATCCCGACTATATGGGGTGGGCTACATAAATCTTGTTTATCCATTCTGTTTTTTTTTTGAGAAAATTTAACCAGAATTTATTAAGAAGAAATGGGGGGGGGACCCCTACAAGTTACAAAGGAGGAAACTTGTCGCTATACAAATGCTCCAAATACACACCAAATCTGCAGTATGATTGTGTTCCCTAGGAATCCAAACTAAATTAACTTTCAAAGCATCTAAAGAATCCCAAGCTTCAGTCAGATAATGATACAGTCTCCAAGGGCCCCCCTCTTTGTCTCTTAACCATTTTATCGTATTTGCTGAATCACCTGTAATGAACAAATTCTGAATTCCCAAATTCTTTATTATCCTGATTCTGGTGAGAGCAGCCATTACTTCAGCCTTTATGGAGTCAGCCCAGCCGATTGGACCACTAAAAGTCCAGCAAATATTGCCCCTTTCGTCCCTAACTGTACCACCAATACCTGCAAGGCCCGGATTACCTAAGGCACAACCGTCAAAATTAAGGGTTATCACTCCTTCACTTATGGATACGGGATGCCTCAAGGATGTTTGCTGGGGATGAGGGAGAAACAGAAAGGGGTGAATATCTCTGATAAGATCATTGACAGAAAGTTCTTTGAACAGAGCTGAATTCACCGTCCAAAGGATGCAAAGATAGGTAATATCTGAGGTTAACTCCTAGGGAACAACCTAGGGAAAGAGGTTTCCAGGGTAGATTCCCCCCACCAAAGATCTTTCTAGAATTTAATTTTAGAACCATTTCCCACTTTATACCTTATAAAAGGAAAGAAAGAAGTATGAATGGAACATATACCTCTCCAAGGATTTGTGACCTTTATCCTGTTCAAATGGAGATTGCAATCCCACCCGTTAGTATTTCGTCCATATTTACTTGAGATGACAGCTGTCCAAAGAGCATTGGGTTCTTTCGGAAATCTCTAGAGCCATTTGCCTAGGAGAGAAGAATTTTTCTCTTTAAGCTGTCCAATACCCAAACCTCTTTTCTCTTTTGGTCTGCATACTTGTTTCTAGTTGACTAAATGGTTTTTCTTATCTCCACCACCTTCCCAAAGAAAGTTCCTTTGGAGCTTCTCAATCTGATTTCTGACTTTAGTCGGAATCTGGAAGACAAAAAGAAAGTAGACAGGCATATTTGATAAGAAGGCCTTTAAGAGAGTAAGCCTCTACCCCCTTTTGAGAGAGAACACTTTTTCCAAGTCGGTAGTTTGTTCTCGCATTTCTCCATCACTGGTCTCCAAAAACTGAGGGATTTTGGATTCCCTCCAAGATGCATCCTAAGGTAGGTAATGGGGAGATTCTCCTCTTTGCATCCCAACAAAGATTTGAAATTTTCTATAAGTTCCACTTCCACTGAGTTAACTCTCAAACCAGTGAGAATCTCGAAACATTCGATTACCCTTTTAGTGTTTGTGATGTTGGTTGTGGAGGCATCCAAAAATAGGATTATGTCGTTAGCGAATTGTAAGTGAGAGATGTGAATTTTATCCCTACCCACTTCAAATCCTTTCACCAAGTTGAGAAGAATTGACTTGTTGAAGAGATAGTTAAATATATCCATCACCAAAGTGAAACGTAATGGGGAAAGAGGGCAACCTTGTCTTAGACCCCTACTAGCCTTGAAATATAACCTTTAGCTTCACCATTTATCAATATTGAAAACCAAGGAGTGCCAATACAACCTTTAATACACCTGATCCGTTTTCTCCCAAAGCTTCATAGCCTTAAGCAATCAAGAATGCAGTCCCAATCCACTTTGTCGTACGCCTTCTCTAGATCAAGTTTTACAAGGACTCTCGGGATCCCAGAGGATTTTCTTTCTTTCCACACACTCATTTGCAATAAGAATGCTGTCCACAATTTGTCTTCCTTTTACAGTGGGTCCCATCCAACCTGGCGAACCGTCTCTCACCAGATAGGTGCAACCCGAGATATCTGAAGCCTAGTGATGAGAACAGAACAGGGCTTGAAGATTGGTTGAGTGAACAAAACAACAATGACGATTCTGATAGAGACGAAACGCCAAGTCTGGGAAGTTTGTCTCCGAAAAGCAACAATGAT